GTCAGCCTTGTCCCGACTCTGCACTCAATAGTTACTCAAGTAATCTCAAGGTTCTGTTAAGTTTCCTTAATCTTACTTAGATGTCGTGGAGGTTTACTGGTTCTTAGAGGCATCTAAGCAGTTTAGCCTACCTCTTGTGTTTTCAGAACACTAAGAGTTAGCCCTTCAGGCTAATATGATCTCTTTGTGCACTCATGTTTTGGAACTCTAATCGCCCTCACGATCTAAGAGTGATAGGTCTAATGAAAATGTTCTAACCTAGACAAACGTGTAAACCACTCTAGCTCTAGCACCCTAATCTTAACTCGGTTCACCCATGCATGCTTTACTAGAGAGATATTCCTATTGATCACCTAAAGCACAAAAAACATATTATATTCATTCATACATGTCTATCAAGGAGATATTCCTATCAATCACCTAATACACGAAAATCATAAATCATAAATCATACATTCAAACAAGCTCAATAAAAAGATAATATCCCTCAATCACCCCGAAGCACAGATCAAAATATCACATTCTCTATGGCGTGCATTCGAAACTCTAGGAGCATTGATTTTTTTATGGTGACACGTGACACACACAGACAAGTGAGTCCAGTCGGTTCGGAGCAGAGCGATCGGATGCAGGGGGTGGATCAGATTGGATGCGGTCAAATGGTTCAAGTAATGAAAAATACTGTGTTAAACAGAAATGCAACTATCTTAGTTTTGGTTCCATGACCTTCATAGCCACAATGTCATTCATATAGGGGTATCTTACGTTTACGTTAAAAAAAAAAAAAAGTAGCACGTGACTTGAGTATTTAAAAAAAAAGAAAAAAAAATCGAGTAGTCCTACTGTTGGAATCGAGAAATACAAACACAAGCAATTATGGTGGGAGCTCTCTTTTCCTAAAAGTATATAATGGTCTTGAACTCTATTGTCCAATACAAGTGAAAATTGGATTTGTAGTACTGCTCTACACACGGCCCACGCATGCGCACATGGATCCACCAGGTGAGCGTATACGTACCTCCTAACATGCCCTTCAGCTAGTGCACATTCATGCTAAAGTGGTGGCCACGTAGTTTCTAGTAATGTCAATGTCACACGAGTAACATTGGCAAAGGCTTTGTTGAAGACAATTGATAGACGAACTACTCACTGTCTTTTGTTTTTATTTGAGAGAACTTTTCCTAACGCTTTTTCTCGTAAAAAAAAAAACTCAGAATTCCTACAACGCTAGAAAAGAATCCAGTTTCATTAGCGTTTACTCCAAACATCACGAAGAACTCTTTAAGAGACAAACTTTAAATTTTTAACTCTTCGAACTCAAACCGAGCCAAATTTAGTTAAGGTTTAGTCCAAAAGTCAAAAATAACTATCTAGAAGACAAATCCAACATAGCTTTGAATTTGTGTATATTAGCTTGAGAATGTATGGAGGGCACATAGCAAAATGTTAGGTAGGATTTGGACTTTACAAACTTTGATTTTTATTTTCTCTTTTTTTCTTCTTTCTCGTACGATCCAGCCCCTCGACGAACGATCAACGACCCCTTGGTAGCAACAGATAGAGAGAGACAAGCACTCGAAGCCCATCGCGAGCATGGCTACAAGCTTTCGACACAGCAACCTCCAAATCATAACCTTCGATAGTGTGAGCTAATAAACTTGCTTAGTCAAAGAATTGATTTACTTACCAGAATTATATAATTGTAATCTAATTTAAAATGAATTATTGACTTAATATTTTAATCCATGTGGAAATTGAAAGTAAACTATTATTCTAATCGGTATGATCCAATTAAAACATTCCCACCTCTGTTTATGTTAGTAGACACGGTTCCCTCGTCGTGAAAAAAGTAAAGAAAGGGAAGCCCTCAGTTTAATCGCTTTTTAGAGCACCGAACTAACACTGCATTGTAGGCATAGATCATCGGTATTAGATGCATCGTTAGGTCATGTTGAGTCAAATCAGCTTGGCTTTTTTTTTTTTTTTTGGTAGCTCACTTCCGAAAATGATGAATATGAAATCCATTGAGTTACGAATACAATGGACCCACCGACCCCAAATCGGGTTGGCTCTCCAGGTAGTCTCTTCCTTCTTGTTACGCGATATTATATATTTATATATTTGGAGAAATAATTAATACAAGTTGGATAAATAACTAAAAAGTTGTTAAATGTGGAAGGAAAATGTGGATAATATTTTTTATTATGAAAAAAAAAAACACTAAATTTAAAAATAAAATTTTAATAAAAGATATAAAATTCTAATAATTTTGTGGAATGAAGGAATAGTCAACTAAAAGTAGTTGACTTTACTAATTGTGTTATTTATTAAAGCTATTGTAGAAGTGATGATAGCATCTTAGTCTAAAAATAATATAAATCAAAATGTAATTTACAATTAAATATTATTTAAGAATAAAATGATAGCTCTTCGTGAAGCCTACCAGTTAAATCATATCGATAATTATGAGGACTCATCTACTAGTCACGGTGTAGTGTTATCTCACCAACGCAATTACTCGTACCCTCTATAGCAATCACTTTATAATGTGTTCTGGCCTATAAGCAGAATCAGAATATCATGCTATATGCTCGGGAGGCCTCACTTTCCTATTAGCTCAATACATACGTGTTATTTCATATCGAGCATACTCATCTTGAATTTTTGAATGGGTAATTATGTCTTACCATACCTCACTCTCGACCATTTACAACTCATCTATTAGTGTAACGACCCAGATATTGTCCTTTTTGGGATTTTCCTCTCGGGCTTCCCCTTAAAGCTTTAAAATGTGTCTGCTAGGGGAAGGTTTCCACACTCGAGTGTTTTGTTCTCCTTCCCAACCAATGTGGGACATCACAAGGGGGCCTTGCGTCCTCGCCGACACTCGTTCCTTTCTCCAATCAACGTGGGACCCCCACCAAATTCACCTCCCTTTGGGGTCCAACGTCCTTACTGGCACATTGTCTCGTGTCTAACCCCCTTCGAAGAACAGCCTCCTCGCTGGCACATAGTCCGGTGTCTGACTCTAATACCATTTGTAACGACCCAGATCCACCACTAGCCGATATTGTCCTCTTTGGGATTTTCCTGTCAGGCCTACTCTTATAAAGGTGTTTTGTTCTCATCCTCCATTTTGTCAGACATCACAACTAAAAACTCTAAAATAGTATGGAATAAGTAGTAATTGAAAAAGGGATTAAAGGAATGCTTAAATTTTATTTTTGATTTTGAGCTAGTTGACCATAATTAAACAAGAATTTTACTATTTTTAAATAAACTTACATTTTATAATTATTAATGTTAGATCTATATTAATTACAATTTGATCAATTATTTTATAATATAATAGAAGTATCGATTTTCACGAAAATTTAAGAGCTTAATCATAATTACAACTGAATTATAGAGTTTTAAAGAAAATTTAATCATGAACTAAAAAAATGGAAACTTAATCTTTAGTTTGATTATTTTTATAAAATATAAAAACTTAAATAAATTATATGGTTACATAGTCTTAAATTAATTATATTAAATTAAAATAGGTATCTAATGACTTTCTAAGCATTTCTTTTTTGCAGTTACGATTAATAAATGATTTAAAACATATTCTTAATCTAACCTCCGACCAAGTTGATGAATGTAGGAGGGATTAATTTAAATATTTTTATGATTGTAGATTTATAAATTTATCAGAACCAGTGGAGAGCTGGTTGTCTTTCATATCGAGCCATTGAATCAATGCGTAGAACCAGTGGAGAGCTAGTTGTCTTTCATATTGAGCCATTGAATCAGCGCGTAGAACTAGTGGAGAGCTGGTTGTCTTTCATATCGAGCCATTAAATCAGCGCCTAGAGCACAATTCCAATGAAATTGTAAAAAATCCGAAGAAATGGTAAAATATGTATTAGTGTTCTGGTGGATCTAAGTTAATTTCTTCACCAAAAAATACATCTTTCACCTAAAAATAGATCTTTCATATAAAAATAAGGGTCAAATGGCTGAAGGACATCAAATACTTTTGGCCTAAGTAAGCATCTTGAATTGATTTAAGTAATCTTTTCGGGTTTGGCTAAGGAAGTACCTTGAATTGATTTAAGTAATCTTTTCGGGTCGAATCACTAAACTATGATGAGAAGTTAGATGCACAATGTATAATAATTTTTTCTAAAACAATTTTCACTAATATATATATAATAGAGAAATTCTCGATAAGAAACTTAATCCTTACAAAAATAAATGAAAATTTTCACATGAATGATGATAATAACAGGCGGTAGGGACGAGGACAAAAGGATTTCATCCCTACCATATCCTATGAACATCTCTATCCGAGATTAACATATTTAAAAGTATCATAGTAGAATCAAAACATGAAAAGTCAAAATAAGGTAAAAAAAGACGAGCATGATACGTCCTTCACCCAGACCACATATATAGGCAACGACCCCTTTTCCTTGTTCATAATTCTAGGTTCAAAATTCCAAATTTCCTATAATTCCACAACTATGTCCTAAATCAAGTGAAAAATAATAATACAACTAATAAAAACAACTCGAAAATGGGAGAAGTTTAAAACCATAAAAAAAGGAATTAGATCGAAGAAACTAGATGACATCATGCTAACCCTCTACCAACGTCGCTAACTCTTAACAGCTCCAACAGCTCCAACTAGTACAAGTGCGACTTGTTACAATTTTGCTCAATCCTAGCCAAATAGTATTTTTATAATGAGTTATCCTTATGGTCGAACATTCCTTGCCTCCATTAATTCAACAACACTCAAGTCAACAGGTAGACAAAATATCAAGTAGGTGAAACCTTTTTTCTCTATTGTTTTTGGTCAATGAATGCTTCCAAGAGACGTAAAAGAAAAGGGATGTGACTCTCTAAGTTGATGTGTCCAAAATTTCCACAAGAAAACAAGATGAGGACAAAGCCCATTGCCTTGCCTCAAGGCATTGACTTCCCATTCATCTCTAAGAAGTGGCATATTTCTTGCCTTTCCCTCCCCTTTGCTCATACAATGCTGTCACACCATTATTCTATTCATATTCATTTCTTGGCTTCAATTATATATTAACTTCCCCATCCACCACCTACCATACCCATCACTTCCTCCATTTTCTCATACTCTTCTCTTCTCAACCATGAAGCTACCTCTCCCTGCTCTGTTTGCTGCACCTCTTGCCTTCTTATTTGCCGTCACCATCGCCGATCCCGACTTGCTTCAAGACGTTTGTGTTGCCGATCTTGCTTCAGGTACCTACTTCAAGTGTTCTAGCTCTGTTCTTTCAAGTTCTTAGGTCTCCCCAATTCTCTAACAGTTGCATAATCATTGGTTTCTAATTTGGGGTTCTGGGTTAAGGTTGTGTGGGTCTAGAGTTGTTTTTGTTTTCGTTCAAAATGTCTCGTACTAATAGAAATGTTGTCATGTTAGAAATGTGAACGATATTCAACGTGAAAGAATGAGATGTTGCACTCTCTTCGAATCGAAGTTGAATTCGAACTACATTTCAAACTTTGACAACATTGATATTGGAAAGTAAACAGAGGAAGAACACAAGATTCAATGATTCTTCTATGTTCTAATCCATGTGGAACAGTTTTCGCATCCCTAACCTGACAATATCAAGCAAAATCTGCAAGATTGAAAGATTCTCTTGTGTTCTAATCCATGTGGAACAGTTTTCACATCCCTAAGCTAACAATATTAAGCAAAATCTGCAAGATTCAATGATTCTCCTATGTTCTAATCCATGTGGAACAGTTTTTGCATCCTAACCTAACAATATCAAGCAAAATCTGCAAGATTCAATGATTCTCCTATGTTCTAATCCATGTGGAACAGTTTTTGCATCCTAACCTAACAATATCAAGCAAAATCTGCAAGATTCAAAGATTCTCCTGTGTTCTAATCCATGTGGAACAGTTTTTGCATCCCTAACCCGACAATATCAAGAAAAATCTGCAAGATTCAATGATTCTCCTATGTTCTAATCCATGTGGAACAGTTTTCGCATCCCTAACCTGACAATATCAAGCAAAATCTGCAAGATTCAATGATTCTCCTATGTTCTAATCCATGTGGAACAGTTTTCACATTTCTAACCTAACAATATCAAGCAAAATCATCAAGTTTAAGCTCAAACTAGGCAAGATCATAGCATTTCCAAACAGTTTATTTTTCCAGATGTTAACATTTGAATCAAAACAGGAATCAAAGTAAACGGATTCACCTGCAAGTCAAATTTCTCAGCGGACGATTTCTTCTTCAATGGATTGGCCAAACCAGGGCTAACAAACAACACCCAAGGCTCGCGAGTAACTGCCGCCAATGTCCAATTTATCCCCGGCCTGAACACGCTCGGCGTTTCCCTAGCGCGGATCGACTACGCCCCCGGTGGCTTGAATCCACCGCACACACACCCGCGCGCCACCGAGATTGTGTTCGTCATCGAAGGCCAACTCGACGTCGGCTTCATAACCACCGCGAATGTCCTCGTCTCGAAGACGATCAAGATGGGCGAGATCTTCGTGTTCCCCAAGGGATTGGTCCACTTCCAGAAGAACAATGGAAAGGTTCCAGCGGCAGTGATTGCAGCATTCAACAGTCAGTTGCCTGGTACTCAATCGATTGCGGCAACGCTTTTCGCCGCATCTCCGCCGGTGCCGGACAATGTGTTGACGAAGGCGTTTCAGATTGGAACTAAAGAGGTTAAGAAGATCAAATCGAGACTTGCGCCAAAATAAGAGAGGCAAATCAATGGCGGTTTCCGTGAATCGAAATCGAAATCGAAGATTGTGTTTGGATTTTGATTTTGATTTGATTTGATTTTGATTTGATTTGGTTGTTGTGTTGTGTTTGTATTGTGATTTGTATTATTGCATTTCTGGGTTCCTTTGTTTCACTCATAATTTGAATAAGAATTGAGATTTGGGGATTTGTTCTTCATTTCTCTCTCCCTTCATTATTTTGGAATCATTTTTTGATAATGTAGATTGTATAATATTTTTTATTAGAATCAATTTTCTTTTTTAAACACGAGTAATTTCCTTGCATTGTGATTGCATCGATCTTCAGCTGCATTAAGACACGTGTTTCGATCCTCACGTGGGAGTCATAGTCTACTGTCTTCTCTCGGTCCTCACATGGGAGTCATAGCATACTGTCTTCTCTCGGTCCTCACGTGGGAGTCATAGCCTCCTGTGTTCTCTCGATCCTCACGTGGGAGTCATAGCCTACTTTCTTCTCTCGGTCCTCACGTGGGAGTCATAGCCTAATGTCTTCTTCCGGTCCTCACGTGGGAGTCATAGCCTAATGTCTTCTTCCGATCCTCGCGTGGGAGTCATAACCTACTGTCTTCTCTCAGTCCTCATATGAGAGCCATAGCCTACGGTCTTCTCTCGGTCCTCACGTGGGAGTCATAGCCTAATGTCTTCTTCCGGTCCTCACGTGGGAGTCATAACCTACTGTCTTCTCTCAGTCCTCATGTGAGAGCCATAGCCTACTGTCTTCTCTCGATCCTCACGTGGGAGTCATAGCCTAATGTCTTCTTCCGGTCCTCACGTGGGAGTCATAACTTACTCTCTTCTCTCAGTCCTCATGTGAGAGTCATAGCCTATTGTCTTCTCTCGGTCCTCACATGAGAGTCATAGCCTACTGTCTTCTCTCGGCCCTCACATGGTCCTTTTACGTGGTAGTTACAACTTACTCTCTTCTTCTCGAGCCTCACATTGTTCTTTCAAGTGGGAGTCACGGGAGTCACAACCTACTCTCTTCTATCAGCCCTCACACGGTCTCTTCACGTGGGAGTCACGACCTAGTCTTTTCTCCAAGCCCTCACATGATACCTTCACCTGGGAGTCACGACCTCGTCTCTTCTCCAAACCCTCACGTGGTCCCTTTACATGGGAGTTACAACACAGTCTCTTCTTCTCAACCCTTAGGTGGCCCTTTCATGTAGAAGTTACAACCTACTCTCCTCTCGACCCTCACATGATCTCTACAAATGAGAGTCACAACCTATTCTTCTCTCGGTCATCATGTGGTTCATTAGGCACCATGTCGCCTTCTTTAAAAAAAAACCACATGTGGGTCACAATCTATTTTTTTTTTTTTCTACTACGATTGTAATACAATGCACGTGTCTATAAATTTTAGCATCAGCTAGTTCGTGTAATCGAAGTTCAGTTAACTTTCTATGAAAGGTTGCGTATTAGATTTTGATGTTTCACATTTATAGTCTCGATCACCTTCTTATGCAAACAAACAGATTTCTTCTATCACCAAACACGTCAATTTAAAATTATTTAAGAACGGAAGGTATTAGATTTATTAATTATCATGATTATTAAATTGAATTAAATAGCATTATCTAATCATTTTTTGCCACGTGGATAAGAGCATTACGTCAAACGTCCATTTATGAAGCAATTTTTTTTATTAAAAAAGAAAAAAAAAAGAATAATATATAATTTTCCCCATTCTCCACGTGAAAATGGCATCTTAATCGGACAATATATTTTATTTTATTCTATTAATTTTGACCACTATTTTTTAAATATTCATATATTTTATTTTATTCTATTAATTTTGACCACTATTTTTTAAATATTCTAAACAAGATAAGAACGAACGAACCATGTGATTAAATTCAATAGTCAGATATCCATTTTACTCGTAGGGATCAGTCTCGAATGGGAGGGAATTCTCCATTTAAACGGAGAATAGGAAAATATGAGAGGAATGGAGAATTTTTTTTTTATTAGATAAATGGGGTCGGGCATGAAATTGTATTTTCTGTCTCCATTTCTGTCCAATTCTCCGCCCAGCTTATTATAAGGAGGCCGAGAATTAGACTGAAATGGTAATATTTAAACTGAAATGGTAATATTTTTAGAAATTTTTAGAAATTTTTAGAAAATGTAGATATACAATACTCAAAGATACAAACTCGATACACAACCAAACTAAAAATACAGATGAAGAGAAATGGAAGAAGAAAACTCCACAAGCAAAGCCATGGCCGCTACCATCAAAGAGGAAACCATAGCCAAAACCCTCCAGACTGAAGAACCAACAATCAAAACCAGAAACTCTAGTCATCAAAATAATCTCGGTTTCAGCTCCATATTGAACGGGGTCTTCCTCGGTGAACGGAGAACGAAAGCAGGACGACGAACTCGACTCAGAGAGGCTCAAACAAGGTCCTGCCTCCATAACAATGGCTTGGGAAGAGGGATCATTTGGAGGGACCTCCAATCCAAGTTATCATCAAACAATGAACAAAGACCATCTTCCACACCTTAACATCAGTTAGACAGACACAAAGTGCAGCTTCAAGCAACTTTCAATCTGTAGTAGGAAAGGCAAACATTATTAACATTCATTAATGAAGTAGTTGTAGTTGTGAGATCACACGTCGATTGGAGAGAGAAACGAAACATTCTTTATAAGGGTGTGAAAACCTCTCCCTAGCAAACGCATTTTAAAACCTCTCCCTAGCAAACGCATTTTAAAACGAAACATTCTTTACAATGTTTTTAAAATGCGTATGATAGGGAGAAGTTTCCACACCCTTATAAAAAATGATTTGTTGCTCCCTTCAACCGAGGTGGGATCTCACAATCCACCCCCCTTAGGGGCCAGCGTCCTCGCTGACCTCGTTTCCCACTCTAATCAATGTGGGACCTCACAATCCACCCTCTTTCGAGGCCAAGCATTCTCGCTGACACTCGTTCCTTTCTCCAATCAATATGGAATCTCACAATCCACCCCGTACAAGGTCCAACATCCTCGCTGACACTCGTTTCCCTCTCCAATCAATATGGAATATCACAAGCCACCCCTTTTAGGGGCCAGCGTTCTCGCTGGCACTCATTCCTCTCTCCAATCAACGTGGAATCTTACAATCCACCCCTTCATAGCCCAGTGTCTTCGTTGACACTCATTCCTCTCTCCAATCAACGTGCGATGTCACACTATATTTTCAAATGCGAATAACTATGGAGTGTCAATATATTCCTCCGGAGTATATATTCCAACTATGAACATACATCAACAGGCTACTTTCAGATCAACCAAACAGAATGCTAGTCTAACCCAATACTAAATTTCCATCAATATATGAACAACATTTGTTACATACCTCAACAAGCAAACCCCAATTGGATGTCTTCTTCCTGTTTAGTGTCCACTTGAAAATCTGTCAAACAAAAACAGTATGAACAAACTGCATACAAGCATCAACTATCAAGATATATGAACAAGAAGAACGAGGAATATACCCAAATGAGGATTGGATTCTTTGGAATAGAAATCATTCTTTTCAATAAGAACTTTCAACATTTCATCAGTGAACTTCGGATGATTCGGATCAGTCGGAGATCCATTCTTAGAATCTGAAATTGAATGTTTCGCAAAACAGAAACCACAGCCTTGATTTACACTCGCATCATAAACACTCTTATCCCAAGAATTTGTTCTTGTAATACTAAAAATCGAAGAAGAACAAGAAGAGGTCCTCTTAATCCTACACCGAAGAATCTGTTTCTTCGCCTTTCGAAATGGATAGAACATCACCTGTTTCGCTTTTCCAAAGCCTTTTTTACCGATCTCCGTTTTTCCATCGTCATCGTCGTCGTCGTCGTCGTCGTCGTCATCATCATCATCGCGCCTGATTTCGGCCGTCGCGATTCTTTTACGATTCTCGTCGCCATCGCCATTAACGCTACTGCAATCAACAGCTGAGATTTGGTTTTCAATATGTTTTGATTCGAACATATATAAATGCGATTCACAAATTGAAGAACAGAAACAAAGGAGTGAAATGGGATGGGATTGGATTGAAATGAAATTGTTCGAATGGAGAAATTTGAAGGAAATTTGTTTGGAAACGATGTGGGCCGATGACAGACAGGGCCAGGTGGATCTGTTGGCGAGTGATTGGCAAATTGTTTGTGTGATGAACTTTTTGGTAACGGAAGAGAACAAATTTGAACTCTTTTTTCTTGAAACAACTAAATTTGTATTTTAAAAATTTAAGATTTCAATTCTTATATTGTTTTATGGATTTGGAAGAAAAACGTGTTTTCACGACTCTCGATCAATTCTGATCCAGTTAATTCTTGTTTCATGGTTCTATATTTGTTCGGCTAAACAATGGGAAACTTTTCTCTAGTTACATGAATTCGGCTTTAGTTTCATTTGAAAAAAACCATCTTGTTCTCAACAATGTTTTTGTCATTTGATCGGATAGTGTTGTGTTAGATAGGAATAGGTTTGGTAAATACCGAGAACTCTCGGGTGAAGTATTAGAACGGAAAAATCTATTAGATAATAAACTATTGGTTTTTCTTGCATATTCTTGATAAACTAGCGTTTATATATAGATGTAGGAATATTTATTCGGGAAGTAAACAGCTCATTTGGCATCTCTTCTTGTCTCGGTAAAGAATTCTTAATGTGAATACACAGAGACAAAAGACTAATCTTTGAATAGGAGTGGATCGGCAAGATTCCTAATGAATTGGGTTATTCGAAAAAAATCTTGTTCTTTGGAAGATCTATCTCGTGTCTAGTAGTGCACAATTTCATGCTGCAAAAACTTCACGTCATTCTCTTGAAGCTCACCCTCTTCCACGTAAATGATCTAACGATTTGTAGGTTTGGACTAAAGAAGTAATGTCACTAGATTATTATCAAATCGACTGCACTCTGAATCTCAATAGAGCGCCTTCTCTAACTACATTGCAATACCTTCAACTTTGGCTGAATATTTTATGTCCAAAAAAACAACACACTTCAATCATATATGATAATCTATCCAAACCAGCACAACCTTATCAACGATTGTCTCTTCTTTTACAAAGATCGTAGGATCGCAAAGCTTATCCAAGATATGTTTTTTATTTGCATTTACGCCTCTTGAAAAGAGCCGTTGAATCAAGTTGTACTTTAAATGAAGGAAGTGTGACTCTTTTGCCCGTAGTTGAGACCCAGTCCGGAGATGTTTTAGTTTATGTTCCCACTAATGTAATTTCCATTGTCGATGGAGAAATATATACTTTGAGCACGATCTATTGTCGTATATACTTTGAGCATGATCCTTCGTGAGGGTACTCCAAGTGGGGCGTGCTCCACTTCCCTCTTTTTCATGAAACATTGTCAAAATCACTCATATCTTACACAACTTAAATCGTCTTAAGCCATTCATCTACCCATCACACTACCTTAACTAGAGTGAATATTTAATAGTAGGCTAGCTTCCTAGTTCCTCCTTCGCGGGTTCGAGACTTCATCATATGATTTCCAAAATAGAAACATGTTCTAGCCAAACAACGGTCCTCATAAATCAATATTCCTCCCACAAAAGTCGACTTTAGACTCCACATAACTTGGACTATTCGAAGAAGTTTTTTCCATTAATTCAATATGACACCAATCAAATGGTTGAACCTTTGATTCTTCTAATATAATGGCAAAATAAACGAAAGGGAAGATAAATCTTAGATACGATAAATGTTCGATAACTACGAAGATTCTAATACCATATTACAAGAGCAAATTACATAATTCTCCTCTTATGATTCATCAAAAATGTACATAAACCTATTTATAATAAAGAAATGCTATAGGAAGCTATTCAAAAGGGCACAAAAAAAAAAACAATATTAAATAGGTTAATTTCCCTTATGAAATGGAATTACACCAATATTCTTCAAATCAAGGTTATTCCCTCCACATATTACAGTATGGTAATTAAAATGAATTTATATTGCATGATTGTGTATCAAATCCTAATTCATAAGAAATCAGAATCGTGTATTGTATGTATATACATCACCATGGACTGAAGAACACGCCATTCTACACAATTTTCTGTTATGCCGCAATGCCAGTGTGCATACATACTCTCTAAAATCTCTATTTGTATTATATCTTTCTTTGCGTATTAAGTTCCTCACACGATCGTTTTTTTCCTACCTGTCCGACAATTCTCGTCACCTCGTTTCAGTTTCATTTGCTGCAGGAACTTTCGAGGGGTAGCTCGACATATCCAAGTCGATAAGCGACATATCGTACGGTGTGGATAAAGAGTTAGAGGCATCCATGAGAAGAGATGACTTCATTGCATCGGGATGTGCTGGTTCGAGAACGGTATAGGAATTCTGAGGGATTGTGGAAAGTGGAATGTCCTCTACCTTGTTTGCAAACATGTGTTTGTTTCTTCTAACAGTGTCCATTTCGGGGCCGGTAGGCACGAAGGTGCGCGATCGGTACTTCCTCGTTCCTTCGTCACCGTCACTATGGTTGTAAAGAACGTAATCATGATAAGTTGGTGCAAACTGCAAGAGAAAAGTGGTGAGGGCAATGAAGAATCCAGCAAAGAGATGCAAAACAATCTCAAACTTGAAAACTATATCAAAAAAAGCTCACTTGGTGGACTGTATCGTGGTAAAAGTCATTCAACTTTAAGGCATGTGCAAGACTTCCGGTGAAACCACGCGAACCACCAATGTTAGCTCCTGCATATTCTTTGTATGGAAATGCATAAAGATGGCCCAATGCGGCTATAAGCATCTCAATGCATATGAGGAAATCTTGAAATTGAGCAGCCTCCTCTGCATTCTTGATCCATTGAGTTTTTGCAGCAAGAAAAACGAGGACGCCCTAAACCAAATTACATAGGGAAGAAATCATATTATAGAATCAGTTGATGTTCATTCTACATGCTTCAGGTTGTGACAACAATATCTGAACTAAAAAGACATTTTGATGATCGCATACTAGTTGTTTTGGTCTATAAATTAAGCTATAATTTGAGAAACAAGTACATTACCCAGGATGTTTTTTTTAACGAAAACCGAAAATGAAAGAATACAAGGTCATACAAAGAACAACTCCGCAAGACAAACTACAAAAAGGACCTCCAATCAAGTAAAATTAGACCCAACAAGTGATTACAACAAAGTTTTACCACAAAAGTCAGAGAAACATAGAATCTACCTAGGGATCAAACGTTGCTACAGCCCAAGCACACCGCTAGCAGATATTGTCCTCTTTGGGTTTTCCCTTTCGGGCTTCCCTTCAAGGTTTTTAAAACGCATCTGCTAGGGAGAGGTTTCCACACCCTTATAGAGGGTGTTTCGTTCTCCTCCCCAACCGATGTGAGATCTCACAAAATCTCTTAAGCCCTCTAAAAATTAAATAGTTCCTCTATCCCAAGGACCCCACAAAATGCGCACACTCCAGCCTACTGAATAATACCGGGTAACCGCTCAATGTTTGAGTGGTTGTAACGAAGATTAGCATCACATTTTATCTGAAGTCTAACTTGCGTTCATTCCATAAGTTTTCTAAAACTAAATTGTAAAACACATTATTTCCCATAGTAGATTACACTCACATTTCAAAGCCACCATATTTATAACCTTCCTCTGAGTATGTTGTAAGAATCAACACAACGCCACACACACTACACACACTAACGAAAGAAACATCCATATAGAGAAGCAAGTGATTTGAAAAAGAAAAAGAACCTAAAGATCACTCACCTGCCAGTAAGTCAAGAAGACAACAGACTTAATGATGATGAACTTCGGGACCGGGTTAAATGGTTGAAGTAAGTCTTTGCATGCCACATAAAACAATGCTAATGAATAAAGAGCCATTGTGTATGACATAGTATAGATGATGGTGAGATAAAGGTATGATTGTTTTGGATTGAAATTTCCATCCTCATACTTCCCTTTTGCATATAAAATAAGTGTAACAGCAACTAGTATAGGCTTCAGAATGACAAATTGCAAACAGCCTTGCTTGCACCTCCGTATAAAACGCCTGCATAGAAAGCAACCCGTAAGGTTATCTGATGAAGTTTCAGATTGATACTTTTGTTTTCCTGATAAGTGAGGAAAGATATAATGCCCAATAACTAGATATTAGATAAAGGGTTATCCTGGTTAGGTTTTAGAGGAAATTACTACTAAACATCACAAACATTGAGAAGCTTACTTAAATATTCTGTACTATTTGAAATAGATTATAATTACAAATAATTAAAAGCCCTCTGCAAATGGAGAGCAGAAAGCAATTAACAATACAAAGAAAGCTCAGCAAACTAGGTTCATTTCTCCAAATGAAAGCAAGAAGGAGAAGCAATAGCATGAACAGCACCTTGCCTTAGGTAGGCATGGTGCCCTTGTGAAGCGCACTTGTGCTAATAATGTGTAGACATGAGGCAACAGATTCAGGCACTTATGTTAGTCTCCTTACCCAACCTACTCAACTGAACCTCATTCATGAAATGTCTAGTTTGTTCTCTCTCTCTCTCATCAAAGCATGCAACAACTAAGTAAGGTCTCTCTATTTCTCTCTGTAGTCCCTCCAACCCTCCCTATCTATCCCTTCGTTTCATTCTCAATCTCTCTTCCTCTCACTCTCCAACAATTCTCCCTCTGCCCTTCTATCCATTGGATGCTCTATTAGTCATCTCTCCATCTCACTCTCTCTCTCTGTTCCTCTCATAAGCTCTCTCTCTGCCTCTCTATCTCACTCTTTTCTGCCTCTCTCTGACTCGTTTCACTCTTTGCCGCTCTGCCCTCCATGGTCTCTATCTATCTCTTCCACTATTTTAAACCTCAATTCACTCTCTCATACTCGCTTGGAACACATTCTAAGATGATGGTTTTCCTTGCACATTGTTAACTGCTCAGAGATGCCAAAAGCTATTTGCGTAAAAATTCAAGAATTTCTTGAGCTTTGACCATCTTGAATTCAAAGGGTGAGCTATTTAATATTTATAATTCATTCTTCTCACTCTCTCTATATCTATTAGTAATCTATAATAATCGAACAATGCTGATTTGATTGATTATTTTTGTCATATGTTAGCATAGATGTCGATAAAAAAGGTCCAAAAGAGATCCAACATGGTGTTCGGTGATTATGAATATGTCATTCCTAGCAAAATATCCTAGAAAGATGTGGACTAAGGAAAGGTTATCCACATATTTGAGGAAAAGGATACTTTTTTTCATATCCACAGGTGTCTAAACCAACTTTCACACATCTCAGCTAATCTCAGCGTCCATGTCAAAGAAACTTGTAGGAATTTAAATCCTATGTACGTAACCATCTTGGTTTCAACTCATTCCCTATAAGTCCATTTACTTCTTCACTAGCCCCAATGATTACTTGGTCAATGCATGATGGCTGCAGAAAGGCGCTACATTTACAGAGTAAATGTTTTCAATAAAGGATTGGAGATTAGTAGGTATTGAATATGACAAGATACTTCACAGATCAAAAGGAGTTTATATTAGACTTGCTAAAACTCAACTTGCTGTTGCTCGTAAGGTTGTCTAACATGATCGAAAGAACAACTGGGGAAAGACGCTTACTTTAGATGAATAGAAGAATAGCAAGCACATCCAGGTAACAAGAAACATACAGTTCAACGTGTGTAGATGCCTACTTTCTCGACTAAATTGTGTCCGCTCTCAAGGTTTTGAGCCCTCTAGTTTGGGAGTTCTAGGTGGATCACAAGAAAAAGTCTCCTAAGAGATTTATCAATGTGGCTATGGATCTAGAACTGAGAAGCAATAACTGATTCTTTTGGTGAAAATGGAGGAAAGTATAGAGATAATTTCAAAATCATTAGTGGGAGAACAGAAATTCAATTGAACCAACTTTTGAATGTACTTGGGTATTATTAAAACCAGAAATTATTCATTCAAATCCAAACATTCAGCAAGATAACCAAAGGATTAATGGGTGTCATAAAAAACCCATGGCTACTAGACAAAGAATTAATATAAATGGGGAATATTACCTTCATCTTTACTTAATTTGCCCTTTGGCTGGTGCTTTGCCCTATACTAATTATTTTTTAAGTAAAACTTAAATTAAACATATTGATCTTATTTTTTTTTCTCACATAACTGTGTTTATTTCTAAACTATATGAAGAATGAATAAAACAACGAACCAAAGATATCTTTTCAAACAGTTTCCAGAACTAATACAACTATAGACAGTTTTAAGATGTTAATCTACAAAACAGGAATTATTAACTTTCAGATAAATATATACTGGAGCAACCTTTAACATCATTTTACGTTCTTCACATAAATAACTTCTCATCCATAATATTTGCCTAAATATGGGCTAGTTTCTTACTGCTCTAAATAGCCCAGCAAAAACTTCATAGTTACATAAGATGGAACAATACCCAGAACATTTCCACCGAAAGATAAACAATACCTGCGCATCTGCAAAATGGCTAAGATTATACCAACATATGCCTAAATTGTCTTCACTCTTGGAGTCTAGAGATGGAACAATACCCTGAGCATTTCTGAGAAATTCAATGCTTGGGTCCTTTTGTTCTTGGAGAGCCTATATTCTCTTCTTTTTTCTTTTTTCTTTTTTTTTTTTTTGGCTGTGTTTTTAGTTTGGCTGGGCTTTTGTTCTTTTCTCTCCTAATGGAGTTCGTATTCTTGAGCATTTTATTTATTTTCACCAATTCCACAAAACACGTACAGTTCTCAAAAGATCATAAAAAATCCACTATTTTTAATTTAGTTTATTACATTAACCAAATGAGGTGACAGAATGAGGGGTATATAACTCACATAATACATCGAAAGAAAAGAATAATATCCCAGAACTCCAACAATGTTCGAAGAATTGAACTCTAAAAAAAACTTGTTTCTTTTAAGAGTCAATTCTTCGAACATTGTTGGAGGGAGAGAGATCTTCATTCACTCTTAAAAAACTCGTTTCTCTCCCTAAATTGTCCAGAACTCCAACAATGTTCGAAGAATTGAGACGCAAGAGAAAGGATGGTTTGAGGATCTCTCTCCCTCCCTCTTTTTTTCTCACGAGTTTAGGAGATCCATAGAAAAAGCATTTTGTAGTAGCAAGAGAATTCATAAGGGAGATCCAATACTGGAAACATATGAAAAGCTTAGGAAATAGTAGAGGGGGGAATCATTGCAAAAAGAGTAGGATTTGTTGAAAATACATTTAGCAGAAAATCCTAATACAAGTAGCTAAGTGGAGCACAGTGTTTTAAATTACATTAAAATAGGCATCTCTCTGCAGCATCCTTTTCATGGACACTCTCCGTTAGAAGGCATTAATGCATGAAAAAAAATGAAGCATGCACTAACTATGCCTACATGTCTGGTGTACATCTATTATATTCAAGTGAGTTAACATAATTCAATGTTGACTAGTATATGCTGCCATTAATAACTCAATCATTACATCAATCCAAAAAAATTGAACTTTTGTGAACTTACCCATCTAGTTGTACAGGAGGAAGACAACACGTCATCAAGCCCCATGATGGCTTCAGTACACGACCACTTAAACTTATTACAACAGCTCCAGGACCACCAACCCATGCCAGACACAATGACAGAAAATTATAAATGACCCAAGCTTCATAGCTAAAAAAAATCAAAACTAATGATTAGATATTTGATCCATAACCATAACCGAAAGGACAATGATACGAAATTGTTTTTACTGTTTAAATGAAGGCATGAGAACTGAAATGACCGCATTTCATTCTTATTAAATTTGTTTATTTGCATATAACTTCTCTACACAAACTTTTGGGAGAAAGGAGCATTCAAGAAGCATGTTTTAGATGGCCATTAAAGAAATCCAACAATACAAGAAAAAGGAATGACCAAGAAGCTGTTAAATACATGATTCGATCGTGAAGAAAAAAAATTATACTCTTCTCATTTTACAAAGTCCATGCCCACCCCAAAAAAAAAGTTCATATTATTCTTGGTAGGCCTCAGTAATCTTCCACAAATAGACCTCACAGTAGAAATAAAAGCCACAAGAAAAGTAAATTAGTGGATTTGCAACAAAGTAGAAACAGACAAACTTCAAAATTCCATAAAGAATTGATTAAGCAAGGACTACTTACACTTCTCGAATTGAATTAAAATAGATTGAACTCGAAGGTATAACAAGAGACAAGAAGGACATCAGTGCATATACCTGTGATGCAAGGGTGCAATTTTAGGATTTACTAATAACATAATGCAAAAAGGAAGACAAACAAGAAAAAGAAAGAAAGAAAGAATAAACACAAAGGTTTTACTACGAAAGTACATATAAAGAAGCAAAAACGTAAATGTAAAAAGTTTGGAGGAAAGATGGTGTGAAAAGGAAAGATGAAGTAGCAAATTACGCAAACAAAAGTGGTAGTTAGTTAGAAGTATTTTTGTTGTCCCAGTTTAACCACTTGTAATCTTAGAACACAATTTATAAATGGTTTTCAACGCTCCATTCTTTAAAGTAAATCCCAATTTCTTCACCAAGGGTTTAATAGAGCAACCTCATCCCAACCCTTTAAAAAATACGATGCCTTTTGAGAAAACTCCAAAAGACCCATGGCAAGTTTCAAGCAGCTATTTTGAGCTCCAACACCTCTTTCGGCATGTAGTAATCCAGGAAAACTTATTGCAGGGGTAGCAGGGGTTGATAGATTCCCCAAACAAGGGATCAAAGTTTAGATGGGAGGGGGAACCCAATCCTACAACCAAGGTCTTGTAAGCACACCCTCCAATTGGTGTTTAGAAGGAAATAAGAGAAGTAACAAAAATCTATGTGAAAAGCACTCTATTTTGAGGCAATGAACTAATTATTTCCGTAAAAAGGAAGTCTTCCCTTCTTAAATTTCAAATTATTTTCTACCGATTCCCTCCTTGCATGGGAAAGTCAAGTTTGGATCGCATTCAAAGATGCTCTTCGTGTTTCGATCCTCAGTGGTGCATTTGTGTGTATAGGAGATTCTGAGGATATTGATGATTTATTGTAGAGTTGCCAATCTGTTCACTTGATTTGGACAAGTTTTAGGACACCTTTGGGATTCCGTTTGTTCGTAATAGGGATTGAAGATCCAACATCGTGTTGTTCCCTCCCTTTAAGGATAAATGGAAAGTTCTTTGAGAGGCTTTTTTTCTTTCTGAGATCGCCATGGGGAAAGAAATAGCAGAATCTTTTAGGGTTGATCGATCTTGAGATGTTCTTTGGGAAAATACCAGATTTAATACCTCCTTGTGAGTGGTGACCTCTAAGGCCTTTTGTAATTATTCATTAAGTTTTACTCTTTTGGATTGGAGACCCTTTTACAGGATTGGGTTGTCTTTTTTAATGCTCTTGTATATCCCTAAATGTTTCTCACTGAAAATTTGGTTTCTAATCCCTAAAAAATAATAATAATAATAATAATCTATTGATTCACAAAACGTGACGAATAGGCTTTGAAGGCATTTCAACATAGAACTCTAACTTTATGGGGGAGCACTAAAAACATTGAATATCTTTAAGAGTTGAGTCCACCAAACCATACACAAACGGATGGTGAATAAACAAGTTGTCATGTCCTCACCACCTATCTTGCATTTGAAACACTAATAGAAGAAAGGCCATCGAGGTTTCCGCTTGTTAATCCAGTATATTAATACTCAAGGAACTAGGAATGAAGGGAAATTTTTTACTTGTGGGTTTTTCCTTTCCAAATCAGATAAGAGTGGTTCTTTTGAGAATTGAGGATTGTTGATAAGACAGAAGGCAAGGAATTTACAAGAGAGCTCCTGAGCTATCTAAGCTACAAAACATCTCCCTGACTTTTGAAGCAACATCAGCTAATCATTCAAAACAAAACCAACTCTTATGTTCATTTCCGCAACAAATAATTTTCTTTACAGATTGCACATTCTATTGATCCTAACTCTTGTTTGGAGTTAGAAGGAAAGCTCCTGAGCTTTCTAAGTTACAAAAACATCTCACTGAATTTTTACACAACATCACCTAATAATTCAGAACAAAACCAACTCTTTTATTCCTTTCCACATCAAACAATTTTCTTTGAACCTTGCACATTCTATTGATCTTTAACTTTTGTTTGAAGTTAAAGGTAAGAGTTTTAGGAACTGTGAAGGTGTCCCCTAGGAAGAAGTCTGGCGAGATGGTATCATCAGTACACAATAAGTTCAGTAACATTGTAGGTTGCAGTACCCATGGATGAAAAATCTTTTCTAATAGAAAAGAAAATAATAAGTTTTCAGTAAATGGGGCAACACAGAAGAAGAAGGAAAAAGAACAGAAAAAAAAGAAAACCAATCTTGTATAAAGAATACAACTAGAGATTGAACTCCTTTCTCCCTACTTAGGTTTGCTTTTGGGTGATAATCCTAAACAAGTTGCTTCCGGAATCCAATGATGATCAGTGATTTAGAAAGATGGTTCTTCTTAGAAGACGTCTTTCTTTAAAAGAAAAAGATTCACCCTTATTTAGACTATTTTGAGTGTTATCCCTCTCTATTTCCTTCCCATTTTTTAAACTCTCATAATGTATGCCAATCTAAGATGAAGAAGAAACTCATGCTTGTAGTGACACATTTGGCTGGATAAAAACAAATGGCCATTTCAAGGGAAGGAAAAAGTGTGGGACGATGTTCGTTCTGATGCTCATTTCAATATATTCCTTGAGATTTTTGGCTGCAACTTGTTTCCTTTCTGTAATTTTCTCTCACTTTAGGCTGTGGTTGCCCCTTATATTGCCATGGTTTTTGGTGTAGCTTTTATTGTAATTCTTGCATTTTCCTTGATGAATGTAATGTCATTATCAATAATAACAACAAAAAGAATGCTGACTTCAATAATCATTTCTTATCGCTAAAAAAATTGCTATTGTCAGTACAACAACCATTGAAATTAGATCCATAATTTCTCTTTATAATTAAGTGCCATAGAGATTCTTCTTCTCTGGAAATCTCCATATGAAAAGAGCATCATTTTCTTTTCAAATATTTCCAATGCCTGGACATCCTTCAACCAGGGTCAAAGAGATTTATTCCTCAGCTAAATTGTATCCTCTTTCAATCTTAGAACCTTCCCAATTGAAATTTCTCTGGAATTTCTACGAGATTTATGCTGCTTATATGGAATGTGGTAAGAAAGAAAGTACGTAAGAATGGTGGCTAAAACATCTAGAGAGAAAAGCTATATAAACTGCCCCCCGACACTTGAAACTTTTACTCGACTTTCTCTGTGTCAAAAGTTAAGACTCGCGATTTTCCAACAAGATGCAACTTGAGGCTTCCTCCTCGAAGCAATAATATACAAAGTCCAAGAATTCATACAAGGTAACACAACAAGAAAACAGAACAAAGATGAACACATACATATAAATTTTCATTAAATCATCAAGTTCGAAACATGCATATCATCTAGGATATAAAGGAACATAATGTGGTGCATAAATCAGAGATACGTGGTGTTCAACCATGAACATGTCAATAAGGAAGCCTTCTAACGAACCCACAACCAAACAAAGCCAAAGGATCTTTCCTGAACTAAAAATGAAACGTGGGGAAGGAAAACTAACCGGGACCATAAAGATGATTCGCACGATATATCTCTGATAAGTAGGCTCCGTATAGTTCAAAAGATGCCGGTAAATATGAAGGACCGCCAGAGCAATGGCTCCAACCGTGCAAAAAAACGCAATAATACTGTAGTAGATTTGAACCGCATCCACCATACTGCAAAATGAACACCAAGGTGTATGCGGAAATTATCAACAGGATCAAAATTAAAGTAATGTATGTGAGGAAGATGATTTACCAAGAACCAGACACATCAAACAGGAAAAAAAATAGAAAAATTAAATAAAAAAGGAAATCTCCCCTTGCCTGTTGCTGCTTCAGAAGCCTGATCTCGAAAACAAGGAGAAGATTGACAGAAACCCTAGTCTGCCACCAAATGCACAATTAACTGGAGGCAGACCCCAAAAAGAAATCGTCAAACTTCGGCAGCTGAACGTTCAGTTCATTCCGCATGGCATTGAAAAAACTAACAGAATCCAAAAACGAATAGAATGAGAACTCGTACGAAACGCCATAATTGAAATTTTTCAGATTAAGAAATCGATAGAGAATCATCACCTTTGGTGAAGATTGAGGAGTAATAATATATAGTAGGCGGATCTGGGGGTGGAAGTGAATTGGAAAAGGAAACAAGAAATCGTTGGAATTGAAACGAACAAGATGAAAGCTGAACTGGAGACGAACAATAGCGGCTTAGAGTCTCCCGGAAGAACAACGGAGAACCTTCGCAAATTCAAAAGTAAAAATAAAATGTTAAATTTTAGAAATGTTCTTAATTATGGACTTTGTTTTAGTAATACCGAAATTAATTTGAAAATATCATGTTGTTATGTTTGTTTATTATGTCTATGTTGATGAATATGACATGTTATGAAAGTATTGTATCATATTGTATACAATATTACCTTACGAAATAACATGGAATGATTATGTTATGTATTAAACAACGGGGACCTCATGCATATTGTATGTTCACGTGTATCTAGATAATTCCCTGCTATATTCGTACGGACACGTACCTTATGACATTTATGTTCGTCGTGATGTTATGATAACATATGTATGTTTGTAACGACCCAGATCCACCGCTAGCAGATATTGTTCTCTTTGGACTTTTTTTTTCGGGCTTCCCCAAGGCTTTAAAACGCGTTTGCTAGGGAAAGGTTTTCACACCCTTATAAAGGGTGATTTGTTCTCCTCCCCAACCAATGTGGGACATTACAATTCACCCCCCTTCGGGGCCCAGCGTCCGTTCTCCTCCCCAACCAATGTGGGACATTACAATCCACCCCCCTTTGGGGCCCAACGTCCTCGTTTGCACTCATTCCTTTCTCCAATCAATATGGCGTCCTCGTTTGCACTCGTTCCTTTCTCCAATCAATGTGGGACCACCACCAAATCCACCCCCCTTTGGGGCCCAGCATCCTTACTGGCACACCGCCTCGTGTCTACCCCCCTTCGGGGAAAAGCGAGAAGGCTGGCACATCGTCTGGTGTCTGGCTCTGATACCATTTGTAATGACCCAGATCCACCGCTAGCAAATATTGTCCTCTTTGGGCTTTTCCTTTCGGGCTTCCCTTCAAGGCTTTACAACACGTCTGCTAGGGGAAGGTTTCCACACCCTTGGGTGATTTGTTCTCCTCCCCAACCAATGTGGGACATCACAATGTTAGTCGAAGGTCAGGTCCATTGGGTACATATACGAGCTCTCCAGAGGGTTCATGTGTGTGTACATAGGTCGTGTGTTGAAAAGTACTACACATCCAATCCTACCCAAGCTGGAAGTTGAGACCAAGACCATGAAATGATGTTTTATGACATGTCCCATACATGATTGTATGTGATTGCATTTTCTGATCATAACTGAATATTTCTTAAAATACTCAAGACATGCGTTACTCTTACCTTTAAGATAAACTTAAAATGATATGAACCAAGTGACATCAATCATAAAATATACTTCAATGAAAATGTGACGAAAATATTGTTGAAATTATCAAAAGATATTTCAATTCATGTCACATTGAGGAAGAATGGAGTTTCATTGTTATAAATTTTGGGTGGATCATAATTTAGAGTTATGGTGTTTTTTAATGTATTTTAAAACTTATTTACACGGTGGATAACTACGGCCATAAAGTATACATAATGGTTAATTATAGTCATATAGTACGAATGTTACAAACTCTTGACTCGGTTTTATTTTGAGGTTATATAAAGTCATGTATGTTACTACGGTAAGGAGACTTGGAAATGTAGTAAAAAAAACATTTGTGCTCCCTTTAGCCAATGTCTAAGTTTATTTGCAATTCTACCGTTTAGGTTGCATGTAGAATCATTCAAGCTTGACATGATCAATTTTGGTTGTAAAGTGATTCGAATCTCAAACAAGTGTTCTTGCCTTGACTGTTTAATTAACAAGACATGATCAATTTTGGTTGTAAAGTGATTCGAATCTCAAACAAGTGTTCTTGTCTTGACTATTTAATTAACAAGATAATTTAAATTTTACTTTCCCTTGTAGTGATTTTTTATCATTAGGGTTAAATTTAGATTGCATGTTTAGAATCACTGAAGTTATACATGATCGATCTTGCTTGTGGAGTGATTCGAACCTCAAACAAATGTTCTTGCCTTGAGATATTCGATCAATAAGGTAATCCAAATCTTACTCCTCTGGTAGTGATTTCATATCACAAGGCACCTCAGATGTGACGTCGCAATGCTGACCATGAGACTGGAGATAGAGTAGAAGCATTCATGTTATTTGTAGCCCTTAGGTTAGGTCACGGTATTTTTTATTTTACTTTATTTTATATACGTTTCAACAGTAATTGTTTTAACGATTTTGCTATGAACATTTAAGTTCATGACATTATTTTGAAATATCTTAAAAGATTTTTAGCATTTCTTAATTATGTCAGGCATATAATAGCGACTTTATTATTATTTTAAAATATTTTACACTGAGTCGGGTGGAGCAGACGATAGGGGAATCAACTTAGCTGAGCCGCACGAAAGCTGAGAGCTGGAGATGGTCTGACACGTGTTAGATGAAAGTCTCACATCTGCTAATTTAAGGAATGATCTGTTGGGTTTTATGTCCTAAAACTCATAGTTTGTAAACAAAGATATATTCTATTTTCAATAAAGTTATTATTGATGTTTATTCAGTAAAAATTGTTATTGAATAAAGTGAACTTTACGATCATTAATCTAAATCCAATAAACTAAGAACACTCTGGCTATAGTATGATTACTTGAACTATATGTAGAGACATAAGAGTGGATCAAGTTCAAGTATATAGTCAAAATGATCTATAGTATAAGGATAAGGCTGAGTACCTTATTCTGGGGACACTATGGATGCGACCCACTTTTGTATATGATATAAACAATGTGATCACTAAATTGTGCATGTGGAAACATGTGAGTGGGGGCGTCCTATGCAATGAGTATTGCATAAGATTGGACCATGAAGAAAACCACTCTCACTTTATAAAGTCGTTTACTATTGAGACTGATTTTCTTTTCATTCGATAACCTAGGTAACTCGGTTTTAATCCTGAGCTAACCATGAACTCCTGTTTATTCGGAATTATCCTTAGATTTGCATGGGTGAGAGTGGCTCTAGTTCGCCGACTCAACAGGCCTCTCATTTCAGGGGTAAGACTGGGTGAATGGCTAGGGACGTGGGGTGCAAGACGGAATTCACTCCTACCCACTTTTAGGGATAGAAGAAAGGTAGTTCCCTTAAGCACTGACTCCAGGTCTTGAACAAGGGGCCCCACCCTCTCATTGGCCTGAGAGGGATTCGGTTTACTGGTTGAACCACAAACCAATTGTTCATTAGAGGATCAGTGAGACATAAGGAACAAGAAGTAACTTCAGGGGTAAAACGATAAATTGACCCAGCTCTAGTTACGAACAACCTGTGAAGGATCGACTTACTAATCATGGTTATATCAGATGGACAGAAATATATCTATAGTGAGGGGAGTGCAACTACTAGGCTATAGTGGAGTGTCCTAGTAGTTAACGAATGTTGGTTAACCAGGTTAATGAGTTTAATCGGTTAATCTTGGATCGTTGGAGCCCATGATCTATAGGTCCATTAGGTCCCTCTGCTAGCTCATATCGGACTAAACCATAGAACAATGTGACGAGTGAGTTCGAAGTGTTCGAATTCAAATTAGGGAATATGCGTTACATATATACGATATATTTAACCGCAATTTTGTTTTATTTACGAATTAAACGAAAAGAGAGAATCTGAGATATTTAAATAAGATTTAAATATCTTAATCAATTAGGTGTCGGAATTGATTGGGATTGGTATTTGAATTAATATTAAATATTAATTAAATAGTTTAATTAATCATTTAATGTTACTTTAATTTGAAATTCATTATTCAAATTAATTGTTGAATTAAAATGAAGAAAGTCAAAATGTATGTTGACTTCATTTAATGGAAAAATCCATGTTAGTGGAATTTTGAGGTGTCAAAATTTGGTTTAACCAAACTTGCATGCTTGCCAAATAAACCCCACAAGTTTGAGTGAAATTTTGAGTTTCAAAATTTGGTTAACTCAAACATGCATGCTTGCCACATAATCCCAAACATTTGAGTGGAATTTTAAGTGTCAAAATTTGGTGATCTCAAGTTTGCATGAACATGCAAACATAACTCTTTAAATAGAGTGATCATGATACATGGAAGGTCTTCTTCATCTTGGTGAAAAACCTTGAGAAAAACCTCTCACAAACACTCTCTTCACGTATACAAAATCCCTCCCAAGTTTAGTCACTCACCGGATTCTACAATCCCGTTCTAAGACCGGAGGATAGTGGAGAAGACACTAGTGGTGGTTCGAAACCGGTTCGTGAGGCAAAAGGAGTTTGAACTACAAAAGGTTAGTATTTAAACTCATTAAGTTTTAATACTTATGAACATGCTAGTAATTTACAATAATTGATGTTCTAAAAGTGCCTAAGATCCAAATTGCTTCCGCATGTGTTATATTAATACCAACATGATCATGGGTTTATAATCAAGGAATACTCTCCCCATTGGTGTGAGGCCTTTTGGGGAAGTTCAAAGCAAAGTCATGAGAGCTTATGCTCAAAGTGCACAGTATCATACCATTGTGGAGAGTCGCAAGGCGAGCTGGGCTGCGATGTTGGACGAGAGTTGTGAGCGGCAAACGTGGAGACAGGCAGGATGCGATGAAGACCATGCGTCTAGTTGGAATGAACGCGTGGATTCCAAGTCTGCAAGGTTCGGAACAGAGCCTATGTTTCAGTTTTCCTCCAACCGAAGCTCAAGTTCGAAATCTACTTCAATTTATGAACCTAAGGTTTAAACCCGAGGGGGGATTTTCTTTTTCTCTAGATTTCTTCTCTTTTTTTCTTGCCTTATTGACCGTATCTTCAAATTCAACCGTTGGAATTTTACCAAATTTGAGTATGTTCCTAGAGAAGACACACGTCATCACATCCAATGACCATAATTCAAATTGAAGGTCGGTAGTTCATTGATCGGAGATGATATTTTCGATAAGAAATTTAGAAAACTCAATCTTCAAATCATGACAATCCTTGAAGTTTCAACATCGGTTTAAGCTCCCCTATAAAGTCTGAAGTTGGGGCATTAGTATGGAACAAGAATCGAGTAAGGCTGAGCTCTCAATTGTGGGTTATAGCCATTTAAATTTTTTTTCAAAATTCGAGAGCAATTATCCACAATTTTCCTTCAA